ACTGTAACGGTCTTTGCATCAAGATAACGGAAAACCCTTTGGTGACATTATTTGTTCTAATACAGTCAAAGCTATGTGAGGTCACGGTGTCAAGTTCCGGTGCTATGGTTGCCAGAACTTTATGATTGTATTGTAATCATGGGTCTATATAAATTATATTGAAGGTTATTCATGTGATATGGAGAACCACAAAAGGGGAAGTATTTAGAGATTTTTAAAATTTTACTTTTAAAGTTGGTAAAAATATTTTTTCTCAGCTTTATTAGGTATAAATGGCAAATAAAAATTGCCTGTGAATGTGTGTGTCTGTTGTGTGTGTGTGTCCACGGGTAAGTGTTTCTCAGGAATCCTAACTTGATTCAAATTACAGTTGTGCTTATATAATGAGTCTCTGTACAGAGGAACAAATGTGTGCATTCGCTCTTAGTTACAATGGTTTCTGTGTCATTTTAAAGGAGAGGATCAGATTATCTGAATATAAACACAATTTGATGTTAATATGAGTACACCATGATTTTGATTGTCCTAAAGAATTCTACCTTTGTTAATACAGTGTTAAAATTCTTAAAAATTTGCAACAAGATTATAGCAAATTATTATTTAAGGAAAATAAATTATGTAAAAATTCTTTTTTAAAAGCTATTTAAACATAAAAGTTACATTGAAGTTTATTCATGTGATGCAGAAAACCACGAAAGGGAAATTTTATACCTATTTGAGGTGTACACTGGGCTGCTTTGGTGTATGTACACCTTGTGAAACGAGCACCACAATCAAGCTAATTAGCATGTCTGTCAGTTTGCACACTGTTATTTCTCGTATTCGTCATTCACTGTAGACATCGTGCTGTATATTCAGTCTCCGGAACTTATTCATCCTATGACGGAGAATCTGTACCCTTCTTCCAACTCCTGTCCCCTGGTGACCACTCTTCCACTCTGTTTCTGTGAGTCCGACTTTCTTAGATTCTACCCGGAAGTGAGATCATGCAGCAGGTGTCTTTCTATGTCTGGCTAATTTCACTTCCCGTAAGGTCCTCAAGGTCCGTTGCTGTTGTTGGAAATGGCAGGGTTTCCTTCTTTTTATAAACTACATAACATTTCATT